TGGGCTCGGCAGCCCGGGGCTCTCTCTTACCGTCGAACGGGACGGTCTGGAGCTTCAGCTGCTCCGTGTAGCTTTTCCGCAGGTACGGAGCAGCCTCCCCAAACTCGCTCATGTCCAGCAGAGACAGCTTGTCCATCTTGGGAGACTCGGCAGCAGCAAAGGAAGAGTGAAAGACACCTGAGCACTGAAAGGAGGGAAAGACAAGGGGTCAGTGCACGGGGAAGGTGCTCACTGCAGGGTTGAGAACCACGAGTGACACGGTCACCAAACAAACTTTTGATTTTCGGGAGTGACAGAAGACAGGGACAACAATGCTAGCTGATAAAAATTACATTAATGAGACAATTACTGATACTTTGCCTTCTGATGCTGCCATCCCCCCACTGGAAGTCCCAACTGGGTGAGCTGAAATCACTTTGCTGTCAAACTCCACATTCCCACTTTAGGTGAGATTGTCAGTAACAGCCCTTTCCTTGATAAGCTCAGCTAAAACCCATCCCAGCTCTACAGACCCGCTGGAGCCCTGCACAGACCCAGGGCTGTTCTGCTGAGCAATACTGCTGCAAGATAAAAGCATGACTGGGTGTATTACCCCTGGGAAGACCCTTCTAGAAGGCTGCTGTGGCAGCTGCTTGGAAAAGCACTTTTATGACTGTGCTTCTTAATATCTATCTAATGCAGTGCCACTCTGCAAAGCCCTGGAACGCCGCTGCCATCACGGATGGAGCCACAACTTGGCAAAACACAGAGTCCTCAGCAAAAATGCTCATGATCCAGGTCTGTCCCACCCTCCCCTGTGCCAGCAGATCCTCTGGGATCAGCCACCCTGCAGGGGTGAAGCGGGTTAGTACAGGGGACACGCGTGCACACAGACATGCTCTGTATTACTGACCTTGGTGCTAGGACTGAGTGGCTCTGTGCACGCTGCAAAGCCCCTTTTTATTGTGTCTGTCAAGGTCAGAGTGGGAAAAGATATGTCAGAAATTCCCATGTGTCATGTCCACACAGCTCCATTGGTGCTGCTGTCCCACTGCCCGGACAGACACAAAAGGCAAACTTCACTTTTATCTCTCTGCAAATGCAGCCTGGTTATTTTTATTCCTGTATTGTCAGGCGACTACAAAGGCAGGGTGAGAGACTGCAGCTTGGGAAGGCAGCACAGCCCTCCCAGCCTGCTCTGCCTGCTCCAGTGAGGAATGAGAGCTCTGCCAGTTCCTCCTGCACCTGAGCACTCAATCCTGCTGCTCCTGCCTCCCACCATGCCAGAGGAGCTGCTGCTTGGTGGGATGTGTGTGGCTGCTGCCTTTTCCAGCTGGAACATCCCAGCTTCTCACTCAGCTCTGCTTTAGCTTCTCCCACACAGACTTTCTGCAAGGATAGGACCCTGGGGTTTGATCCTCCACGTTCTGCTCCTGAACCTCACTTTGCCATGGGAGCTGGTTTTGTGGCCAGGCCAAGTTCATAATATCTCAACAGAGAGGTTGCTGGGTTTCCTGCACACCATTTTACCCAGAGGTGCTGTGTACAGCCTGGAGCACACCTCCATCCTGGCAGCACCACCATGGGCTGCCCAAGATGGGAACAGGACACCCTGGGGCCGTGCCAGCTCAAGGGAAAGCCACTTAGCTGCTGGCATCCAAAGTGCAATGAGGTTTTTACCCTGGAGAACCAGGGCCTGTGGCTGCAGAGTTTGATATTTATTCCCCATTCAGCACCTCTTACACCCCAGAGTAACTTGGGGCTGCTGTAGTGGGGGAAACTGAGGCAGGGAGTGATTAGGGATCAGCTGTGCAGTGCTGTGCCCAGGCTGGATGTGGCACAGGCTCTGTCACAGCCAGAATAGCAGCACCAGAGGCTGCTTTGGGCATGTGGCTTCAGCCTGGGCACACAGCCGAGGCTGCAGAGGGATTTCTGCAGCCCCAGCACCTGCCCTGAATGCAAGCCCCAGCCATAGTCAGTCTTTCCATCCAGCACTCAGGGTTGCTGCTACACCCCCCAGTCTGGGTTCCCAGTGCCATCATCTCCTCACCACCAACAGAAAGGTCCCTGCCCTCCCACCCTGCTTTGGAGAGAAGTCTGGGACATTCATGGGGTGAAAGAATGTGGGAAATAGTAAAGGTAAGATTTTCAGAAAGCTGGAAGAGCAGGCTTTAGAGACAGAAAGAACAGAGAATCAGCTACAGCTGTGAAATCTGAAGGTAGAAAAAGTTACAATAGTTTAGCAAGTAAGAACATGAAACAAGGTTCATGAAACAAGAGTTTGAGAAAACCTCCAGAAACAGAGGAGTACTGCAGAGCCATCCCCTGTGGGCTGAGCCCCAGAGGGAGGAAGGCTGGGCTCAGGGGTGGGTTGATGGGTTGATGTTGCCCTCACTGGCAGCAATGTCAGTGCTTTGCAGGGTGCCAGACTCCCCCAAGAACTGAAATGCTGCCATGGAAGTGAATCTGAAGCATGAACAAGGATTTGGGTACAGAAGGATAAAATGGGGTGCAGCCATCTCCATGTCCTATATGGGCACTCCTCAGCAGGTTAGTGTTAAGGAGTGCAGCTCCTCATCTGGATTTGTGAGCAGCTGGTGCAGAGCTGGACTCCACCAACACATCTGCTGCAGCCCCCCAAGGGAGACCACGGGGACACCAGTGCTGAGGTCCCTCTTGACCATGGCACGCTCAGTGTTGCCAAGATGGCAGAATTCCAGCAACCTGAAGAGCCACAGGCTCTGGGAGACCACAGAGCCCTCTGAGGTTACCCTGGTGGTCTCCTGCCTCTCTGTCCTGGGCTCGGGGTCAGGTTTCCACCCACTCCCTGGAGGTACCCGAGGCTTTGGTGGGTCCTGTGCCAAGTACCTTTGCCACAAGTGCCCAGCAGTGGGATGAGCCCTTGGCCCAGCCCCACCAGCTGGCCCAGCCTCACACATTCTTCTCAGGGCATGTACTCGCCCCACACTCTGCTCACCCCCTCCCTGCCTTATCTTTAAAGCGATTTTATTTTCGGAGATTCCTCCTGCAGTTCCTTCTGTTTGCCGCAGTTCCTCTCCCTCTTTGAAGAGCTTCCAGCAGGGTCCATCAAAGGCCAGGCAGATCTGTAGAAGGGGAAATGTGAATTGGTCACTCTAGCAGCTGCTGAAGGGTTCTTCCTCCAGGTGTGGGTGGTTTTGGCAGGTTTGGTGTTTGTGATGTGGTTTTTCTGGATGGTGGGGAGCTCATCCCTGTATGGCTGGCAAGGCCTGAGCTGTGCCCTGCTCAGGCAGGTGGGACAAGGGCAGTAGGATCCCTTGGACCTCCCACAAAATCCCATGGGCACAACGTGGAGCTCATGGCTTTGGCCTGAGCAGAGGGAAGTTTTCTCTAGGTGGCTCTGGCCCAGAGTGAACAACATGCCCAAATGACCCCCCAGCCCTTCACACCCACCCTCAGCAGTGAGACCATCTCCCCTGACCCCTGAGACACCTCTGCTCTTCCCCTGGGCTCTGTGCTTGGTGTTGGTGCCCCATGATATGATGGAAAAGGAGAGGGCTCCTCAGCCAAGCCCCCGAGGGCTGGACCAGCCTCTCCCCATGGGCACCACCAGCACCAGACAGCAGAGCTGCCCCTTCAGTGAACGTTTTGTGGTCAGACCAGCTCCTACCCAGCCCTGGAGAGCCAGGAGGGTGCCAGGGGCTCAGCCACCCTCTCCAGAGAAATCCCCTGGCTGCTCCCTGACCCCCAGCAGGAATGTTTCCCATTAGCAGGCTCTGATAAGGGGCAGGAAGGAGAATTACTGTCCGTGTCGGGCAGCTCACTAGAGGTTTCCACACTTAACATATCCCCACTATCAGCTCCCTGAAATGCACTGGAGGGGGGTGCAAAGGCAGCTGATTAGATAAAGACAATCTGCAGAGGGGCTATTTCAGGCATATTTCCATGGAGTGGGAATGTCTGCTTGCAGGAGGTGACAGGCCAGTGCTGCCAGACCGCTCACATCCCTCCAGCTCAGCCTGCCCATGCAAGGCCCCCTCCAAGGCAAAGCCCTGTCCCAGCAGGGTGACAGAGACAGCAGCCACCAGCCCAGCACAGCCCCCTCAAAGTGAGCAGGACATGCTGCTGCTGGCAGCCCAAAGCTAAGGTGTCCCTGTGGGGTTTAGGATGGGGATCCCCTTATCCCACAGCTCTTCCCACCATGGTGCTGCCTGGATGTCCCTCCCTGGGGACAGTGCTGGACCCATCCTGAGCTGGCTGTCCTGTCTCTCCAGCCCTCCATGAACACACACACAAAGCTGCTGCTGCCATGAGCACCCTCCTGCAGTGATTCCCACCTTGCCCTGGGCAGCACAGGCATGTTGGTGGCTGACCCTCCACACAGGGAGCCTCCAAAATGAATATCAGAAATGAGAAAGCACCTGGAAGAGACATGGCATGAGGAATTATTGTATAGAGTTAGCAAGCAAGGTCACACACAGGCATGGAGATAATGAGATGTCCAGACATCTTCCACTGGGAAAATTGGAGAGGTTTTGTTTGTTGGCCTTGAATTTTCCAGCTTTGAGGTTCTGGGGGTTTTCTTTTGGGGACTGCCATGATAAAGCAGCTTGTAAGAATGAAAGTTGTACTGAACACTGCAAAATTACAGGAATGTGTGGGCCTTCAGTGAGGTTTTGGCAATGCACTTCAAAACAATGAGAGTAAAGAGAATCTTGCCCTGTTCATCTGAACACTTAATAGCACCTTAATTGCAGCTGGCCTGCCAGGACAGACCCTGGAACACGGCAGCCTTTGGAAATCATGACCAGTGGCTGCCTTGGAGGCTGCAAGGGAGGGGCAGAGGCTGCTGCAGTTCTGAACTGTGGGCATGGTCTGGCCCTGCAGTGCCCCAGCTCCTCTGGTTTTGTGCCAGTTTCACCTGCTGTGAGATCTGGAGCAGATTTGGGAGATTTTTGGAGGAGGTTGGTGGGTGCTGTCCTGCACATACAGACCAAGCCCACACAACCAGCTCCTGGGGCAATCCCATCCCAGCCCCCTGCTATCTCCATCCCTCTTGCACCTTCTCCCTCTCTCCATGGGAAGCATCCTCACTGCTCTGGGGATCAACCCTCAATGAGATTGAGCTAAGTACATTTCATGGCAGGGGACAATTGTTCAAAGTGGAGTGGCAGCAGG